CTTTCAAATGAAATATCAGCACCTCTCCCCCTTCACACTCATTGCGTGGGTTTGAGCGGCAAAGATTCCTTCGGCAAAAGCACTGGTTTACAAAAGAGCTGTCATACTGGGTCAGACCAATGGTCCATCTAACCCAGTATCCTGTCTTCCGACCGTGGCCAGTGCCAGACGCCCCAGAGGAAAAGAGCAGAACAGGGCAATTATCCAGTGATCCATCCCCTGTCGTCCAATCCCAGCTTCTGCCAAAGAAAGGCGGGGGGGGGGAACCCAACTTTTGTTTACGATTAGCTTCATCAAAACAATGAGCAAAAATGAAACGAATCCTTTTCTCTGCTATGAAACTCCGGTTTTAAATTACCAAAGCAGCAGCAGGTCTGGACTGTTAAGTGTCTAGGCTCCACTCAAGTGCCGGCTGCGGTGGGACAGTGACATCTGATATAATAGCAACACCAGATTAGTAGCTATGTGCCTTTCCCAATATGTCAGCCTGCTTCCCTCGCTCTTCTTTTAAAGTGCAATTATTGACATGTCTGCCCCCTTAAACATTGGTTTTATATGCTTGCCAGTGACTCCCGAACATGTGTCAACAATTATTTTTATTTCCTTGAAAAACCAAAATGTTGCATATTCTTTCGGATAAAGTGACTGGGTAGGTTTTCATGAGCTCTGTTCTGTAATTTATTAGTTTCCAAACTCTGTAAAACGACAAACTCCAGTAAAGTTCAAATAAATTGGTCATTCCAAAGTAATTTTGAATTGACTATTTCCCCTCCCACCACATTTGGATTTAGGCGAATTAAAATTAAAATTCGTAATCTGCAAAAGGTTTGCCTGGCTTGTCTGGTTAGATCAAATAAAAGGGTGATATTATGGGTCAAAACACCAGAAAGCCGCTCATGTTCTGAGGGCTGCAAAATGAAATGCATGGCATGGTCTCTAATCAATGCAGAATTAGCTCTCTGCTTTCAACAGGAAAAAGCCAGACGCTCAGCATGGAGCTATACCGACACGCTGCTCCTCACACAGAAACCACACGTTTCGGGCCCGATCCTGCTCCCGCTGAAGTCAATAAGAAAGCTCCCGTTGACTTCAATGGGAGTAGAAGCCAGCCTTTGAATGTCAATGCTGCACCATGGTGATAAAGCCAGGCTCTCTTGATCTCAACACGTCAGACAAAGGAGTTACTTTTAGGCAGTGGGGAAGCGAATGCATGGGGGGGGGCGGGGATAAAGAAGCACACACTAAATGGAACTGCTTCTAAAGTATCTGTGGAACACAGGGGAGAAGGGGCTGGCGCTGCCTGGGATCTGTGCTCTGCACTTAGCATGCTCCAAGAGGAAGAGGAGAGAGAGAGAGAAATTCCAGGCACAAAGAAGGGAATCAGAAAAGTAAAGTCAGTGTGAAGGAAAAAAGAAAGAGAGTTCCTCGTTCGTATGTATACAATAAAAAGGCCTTGTCTGCTGTTTGACAGCAGTTACTGCTGGGAGCCTGATTCTGCTCTCACGTATGCCCTGTAAATGACACCAGTAAAGTCAGTGGAGTCACACTGGTGTAGAAATGGGAGGGGGGGGGGGTCGGGGAGTCAGGACTGTAATATAGACCCTGGGCCCAACTCTGTATTCTTTACGTGCTCTCAACTCCCAATGGACTTCACAGGGAGTTTGGGGAGTAGGAGGACAGCAGGATGATACGTAATAAAGAACAGGAAGAAATGATTAGACAGATGTATAAAATTTCTATCTGTATTGCCATTATGCCGAGTCTCATCTAGCTGCTTGGGTCGAGGACTGACTATATGTACAGCACCTAATACCATGGGGCACTCTCTGCATTAGCCATTAGGTGCGGTTGAAATATAAATATTAAATAATAATAGGCACCCTGATACCTTGGGGTTGGGCATGATGTTATTCCAATAACAATCATTGTATATTTACACAATACGGTAATGCAGGCATACTCTACGCTCTCTTTTCAGCACTCTCGGGTTTTACATGTAACTTTGTTATTGCTCGACAACCCTTGCTGTCATTTTATTAACCATGAGATTCTGATGGCAAATGAAAACTGATCAGCTCTCAGGACTTCAACACATTCTCAAACTGAACTCCCTGAACGAAACAAAGACCGAACGCAGGTTTGAATTTCATATATTGTCTTTGAGTTTCATTAGGGAAATGATACCAGATCCCCTGTATGTATTTTAAGAGAAAAGACAGGGTCTTATGCCAGTTTAGGAGAAAGCAATCCCTTCTCACATGAAAAAAACCTAAAGCCATGTAGAATAGGAATTAGCGAAAGCGTATAGCTTCAATCATTTAAAAGTTAAGCCTACTTAAATATAAATGACAACATTTAATTCCAAGGCTGTTACTAAGCAGAACCCGGGTGCATCTCATATCCTGTGCCTTTCTTTGAATGCAGGGCTCAGCAGTGACAGACAAAAGCTGTCCATCACCCAGAACAAAGAACTCCAGGAAATTAAAAAAAGAGGAAATACTGTCTGGAAGCGGAACCCAGCTCCCATGAACTGAGCCCCCAGCCGGTTCAGCTTTCACTGGGTTTATTTAAGAGGCAGCCTACACTCATTTTGGAAAGTTTGAAAAACCCGAGGATGGAACTCAAGCATTATGTAATGAAAAGCGAGAACATCCTGAGTAAAAGAAAGCCTAGCATGACACAGTACCTCCTGTATGCAGAACCGATGAGTCACAGCCTCCATCACAGTGGAAAAGGTTTCTATTGAGTGACTGATTGACATACATACAGAATGTTTTCTTAAGTTCAGCAGAGCACAGAAACTTACACTCACTGTTTCTACAGTGTTAAGCCTATTGGGGGGAGGGGGGGAATCCTAGAATAAGAAGGAAAAAACAACAACAACCTTTTAAACCGCAGCCAAATGTTCCTAAGAAGGACCAGGAAAGCACACCTCCAAGTCACCAAAACAACTACACACTGCAATACAAACGAAAACATGATGCAATCTAAGAGATCAGTAGGCAATAAACGAATAATGAGCTTGATTTTTGAAGGTTAAACTTTCAATAACTTGCAATGAAAAAAAGAGGTAAAAACACCAGAAGTATTATTTCAATCACCTTAATTGCACGATTATCTATCCAGAAATCATACCAGGCTGATTGTAATAAGGAGACCTGTCTCGTTACTGTTCAATTCATCACTGTGTTTATATTTTCCAATAGCTTCACACACTTCTTCTACCATTGGCTGCTAAGGACCATGCACCAGGTTTATTAATGTAATAACCCAGCAACCTGATTTCCTAATCATTTTTCATACACTCAGATTAAGTGTAACACTATTCTCCTGTTCTGAGAAGGCTAAGCTGTTTCTCAAACAACTCATACTGTATTTTGTTCAGGTTCCTCCACTAACTGGGGAGGGGGAAAGAGAGAAAATCATTTTCCCACATGAATATTTCCACCTTTGCCAGAGAAGATCACTTGCCTTTCTTGGCTCTGTTTTTACATTGATTTTGTATTTTAACGGCACCCAGAGTAGGGGAGAAAATGTTACAATTTATCAGCAGGGTTTGTGGTAGATCCAGCGGAAAATCCCTTTGATGTTTTTGTAGTTCAGCCTTAGACCTATGCGGGTGTTACTAGTTGTGTTGCCGTTTGTGTGAACTAAAGCCAAGCATTACATGAAAGCATAACACTTGTAGGTTTAAAATAGTTTGCTATTTCCCTTGTAACTTTCACTATAACTTCTTCCCCGTGAGCTATCATTTGCACTGACAAGGATTGTGCATTTTATGGTAGGATTCCTACACACACACACACACACTCCGGTGTGTGTATATTTTTCCAGGTGTGAATTCTAAGTAGTAACGGTACAAACAGCATTGCAATCATAGGAATTAACGTTGGTGTGACTGAGTGATCTATCACCGATAATGAATGCCATGGGCTCTATTCTGAATCTATATCCAGGGGGGTCTTTCCTTTCTTCCAATTAAACAAATGGCATTTCTGAAATAGTTGGGACATTTCCAATTAATTTGGTTTATAATTTGATAGGCCATCATAAAATTCTATAGGAACATCTCTGGGGGAGGGGGAATCCCCCATTATTTAAGTGTATATCCCCTTCTCGCCAACCTACACAGCTACACACAATCTTCGCCACTGAAGCCAATCAAGGTTTAAACTTCAAAAACCTGGCCAGAGAACATTTTAAATGGCTTAGCTTGCAGTTTACCAGCATACCCCTGCCTCCCTCCTCCCCCCCATAAGAGCCCGATTGGCAGGGGAAATCCTGTCGAACTTTGCAAACATGTGATGCTAATACAGAACATGGGGATGGAATAAAATGCCTCTGTGTGTGTGTGTGTGTGTGTGTGTGTTTAAAAAAAGTTTACTCGGCGCTTCCAAATATCGCTCACAGACATCTGGCCCGGTTTCAGGATGAGTCAGACGCAGATGAAATCAGAAGGGCATTTCAGTGCAAGGATGAGCCTACCTGATGCAACTGATGGGACTCCGGAGCTGCCGGCTGGAGCCCCGAAAAGAGCGAGTCTGTCTATACTAACGAACTGCCAAGGGGGATAACAGCCAAGCCAGCAAGTGCTGCGCGGCCACAGAGTGGGGGTGTGGGTGTAGCGAGAGAGCAACCCGTTTGCAGCAGGAGTATTCACGGCTGCTTGGCAAATTTCCCTGTTTGGAAAGGCGCTTGTTGACAGAACCATGTGCTCCCAGCAAAGCAGCGAGGAAAATCAAAACACAGACGGGGAGTGTGTGGCTGGATCAGCGCTGGTGCCCCCCCGCCCCGTCCTTACATCCCCCCCTTTAAAGCAAAGAAAACCAGGCACAAATTCCGGTGCAAATGCCCCCGCAAGAGAGGGGCTCCCGCCCCTTCTGCAAAGCGGCTCAGCAAAGCGCCCCGAGCCGGCGAGAGGCAGGTCGGAGCCGGGGTAGATGGCATGGGGTGGAGGGGTCTCTCCCCCCGGGGCAGGCAGGAGAAGGCGCCCCGCTTACCTCCCGCGAAGGCGAGCAGCAGGAATCCGAACACGCCGGCCGGCAGAGGGGAGCCGGGGGAAGCCATGGAACCACTTTTGGTGCGGCTGGTGTTTCTCCTCCTCTGCGATCGGGGGTGGAAAATCCAGCTGGAGGGGGGGGGAGAGAATCAGCCCCCCCCAAAAGCGGGTTTCAAGCCCCCCCCAAAAAATATCCGCAAAGCACCGAAATGGAAAAAGGGGTGGAGGTGGTTGGAAGCCAACCTAGATCCTCATGGTGCGAGCGCTGCCTAAGACAATTGGTGGCTGGAGAGGCTGGAATGGGCTTGCGCCATCTTGCACATCTATCAGGGATCTGTCAGCATCTCCCTTTGCTCTTTGCAAACACACAAGCATGAACATTACTGCCTCCTCTGCACCGGGGCCACCGATCCCTCTCTTCCCCCCTTGCACACTCGCTCCTCTCTCTCCTGGAGGCCCCTTCTGGGGAACAAAAGATCCAACTGGCGCTTTATGCGACTGGACATTTCAAGGCAAAGCAAACGGATCCCCTCCTTACCCCACTATGCTTTGAACTGGAGCCTGGATATTCCAGGGGAACATCAAAAGGCTCGTGCACTTTCTTTTATAAGCCGGCGAATAGCTGCTTTCTTTCCTGAGATTCAGGGGAGCCGGGCTCCTTTTGCAAAGCATAAAGGAAAAGGCAGAGAGGGGAGTTCAAGAAAAAGTGATGCTCGTGTTCGCACCGTAGTTTAAAAAAAAAATTAAAGGACACACACACAAAAATGTTGCCTGGGAACCTTTTCCTTTGGCCCGACTACAAATACCGCTGCCCGTTTTTATTTTTGCTCTGGATTAGCTCAATGAAAGGGCACCCTCCACCAATTGTTTGGGGTTTGTGCAAATGCAAAGCATGTGCTTCATTTATTTCACTCTGCAAAAGCATCCCAGGAGGCAGCTTTGACAGACCAGCGGTTCTACAAAATAGAGTTGCATTGTGTTTCTTTGCACCGTTGAATTCCTCCGGGTTTATGCTGCTGTGACTGAGAAGGAGGGATTTGGCCCACTCTGATGCAAAGAGCAAGAGACGATCTCCCATTTAATATGGTAAAACTTATCTACCGTTGGGTCAGATGAAGGGGATTTGGACCGTTAGACTGAAGTTAAAGAAATTCAAATATTCCCCCCCATAAAAACAAGACACATTGGGCTAAATTTATTCCTAGTGTATCTTGACTCGAGTCAGTGCATTTATACAACAGGGGTGAGTTTAGTCCACTGGAAATTAATTAAAGCAAACTTCTACCATGTGAACAAATGGATGTTAAAATAGAGCTCTGCTCTCTAAATCAGGCAATTCAAAGAGAGAGGGATTACAAAGGAAGTATGTTATGCATTTACCGGCTGCATGTAAGAGAAAGAGCAACAGTATGCAAGATGCTGAAGTCAGGTTTCTACTCTCTAAAACAAAGCCATCGAGAAGAACTCCTGTAGCTCCCATGTGCTGTCCCTCCCCCACCACCCCCCTGTTGTAGAGGATATAAACAACATTTCTGTCTATAAAGGATTGATTTATTGCACTGAAAGAAAAGAGAAAATTGCTTTACATGCTAATTCTAGAAGATCAAATTAAGAGCTAACAAATTATTTTACACTTTAAGAAAGGGACCATTTGTCTTGCAGAGTTAAACATAACTCTTCAGGCAAAGTTATTCTACTTAATAATCCTTTGTGGTCAGGTTCTGAAGGAAATGTTGTTGTTTTTTTTAACTGACTTGTCTTGGGGGGATGTTTTAAATATGGGAACATCTTGAATCTTGTTCGCCTGAATTTAATTGACTGTGCCAACAATCAGGAACGTGCACAGACAACATGGTCAGGACTAGAAAAGAAGTAACGTTGGTCCCTTTTGTACAAGATGTACAAAGGAAGTTCAAAAAGTATCAGTGAAACATTTCCAGCTGAAGTTAGGAACTGTTAAGGTAGCTTGAATCCACAGCAATGAACTTCAAAAAAAAAAAAAAAAGAGAGAGAGACTAACTTTTCTAAATGCGCACACAGGAGCAGAGAGAGGGAGGGAGGATTACACATAAACTATATTTCTATTTACTAATTGTATTACAGTACAGCACCTATAGGCCCCAACTAAGATCATTGTGGTAGGTGTTTTACAAACATAGTGAGAGACACTCCCTGCCCCCAAACAGCTTATACACTAAGAAAGTTGGAGGGTCAAAGGGGAAACCAATAATTATAACATGTAGCTCTTACATAGTGCACTTCATCCATGGGTCTCAAAGCATGTAACAAAGGAGGTCAGGATCATTATCCTCATTTTACAGATGGGGAAACCAGGGCACTAAAGGGACGTCGCCTTGTACAAGCTCACACAGCAGGTCAGCAACAGGGACAGGAATAAACCCCAGGGCTCCTGACTCCCAGCGCAATACCCCATCTGTTGCTGCAGAGATCGTCTCTCTCGAGTGGGTCTCTTCAGCGCAGTCCCGGCTGCCATAAAACCAACTGAGGAAATTCTTGACCTCTTGGTCTCTCGAGACTGAAGAATGCCTACTAGAAACCAGGCGGCCATCAAGCCTGAGACCGAGCATGTGTAATTACAGGCCAAAAGGAAGGATTGTTTCGCCCATACTCCTTTGATTTCCATGGAATTATACCAGGGATGAATTTATGAAATTGTCCCATATGGTGGTCTGGCTTCTTCCTCCTCCCACATCACCCTTAGGACTAGTAAGCTAAAAACAGCCTCCTAGGAGTAGCTTTTCTGGCCCTCCCCTGCTGCAGTTTCACAACTGCTCCCCATCTGGCACCTGCTGCTTCGCAGGGGCGGGAGGAGAAGCTCCATTCCTTCTTCCCTACTAGGAGCTGGGAGCCCTGGGGACAGCAGGAGAGGTGTTCAACCAGCTCTGCCTGAGCAGTGGTGCTGGAGCCATTTTTATAGTGGGGATGCTGGAGGTAGACGCCATGTATTCGGGTTGTTTTTGCTACTTCAAGCCAGGAGGTGCAGCAGCACCCGTGGATCCAGCACCTATGTGCCTGAGGCAAGGGAAGTGGTCTGGCCTTGAAAGAATTGTCTAACCCCTCAAGGTTGAACATAACTAGGAATGGTCTAGTTATTACTTCGTCCTGCCTGGAGTAAAAGTAGGTGCAGGGGACTGGACTAGAAGATCTATTGAGGTCCCTTCCAGTCTTACATGCCTGTGATTCTACAAGGCCATTTCTTGGGGCTCTGGTTTCTGAGCTCAGTTTTAGGGGGTTCAACAGTGATTGCTGGATAATTGGGAGGACAATCAGCCGGCTCTTGCTGTACAACAAGCTCATTCTCACCTTGCGGAGAACCAGAGATATTTTGACATTAAAAAAAAAAAGTCGATGAAATGTTCATGATCCACACCCCCTCCCTTTGTTTTTCCAAGCAGTGCTATTAGGGGTTCAGTTTGCAGACTTTGTTTTGAGACCAAAGTGAATTCTTTGGTCAGGCATTAGCCCATGCTTTCGACAGAGGTGCATGCAGATTGCAGACTAAATACAGCACAGTATGGCTTTTGTAACATGATGGTAAAGACAGATAACGGTACATAAATGTCAACCAAAAGAACCCTGTAAAACGAATGCAAAACTTTGCATGGTCTAGGCCCTGTTTACCCTGGTCTTTGCCTGAGTTAGGGGGCAGTGGTGAGCTCACTTCAAACACAAATCCAAATCCACTGGCTTCTAACACAGTTTGACTGACCAGTGTGGGTGTACGTCCTTTGAAATATGGTCCTCAAGAGATTAATCCATCCATACTGGCAGGACAAACCATATTATACATAAGTCTAGCTGGCCCATGGTTAAACATAGTTCCCTAATTCAGTTTAAAACCCACTGCAGTACGAGGTGCCTAGAGGAGAAACGCTGGGTTCTATTCTCAAATTATACCACAGACTCATTCTGTGCTCTTGAACAAGTCATGTTAATGTGCCCAGAGCCTCAGGTTCCCCGTGTGAGAAGTGGGGATGAGAATATTTCCCTACTATCCAGGTGCAAGTCTGAATTCATTCATGGATCCAAAGCCAGAAAGGACCACTGTGATCATCTCGTCTGGCCTCCTACATAACACAGGCCAGAGAATTTCCCACAATAATTCCTAGAGCAGAGCTTTTAGAAAAACATCTCATCTTGATCTCAAAGTGTCAGTGATGGAGAATCCACCATGACCTCGGCAAAAAAACCTGCATAATTCTATCTTTGTAAGTTCAACTTTCATGATAAAGAGATTGCACTGCAGTACTTGTATTAGGTGAATTGAAGAATACTATTTCTTTTGTTTTTTACAGTGCAAATATTTGTCATCAAAAATAAATATAAAGTGAGCACTGTACACTCCGTATTCTGTGTTGTAATTGAAGTTGATATATTTGAAAATGTAAAAAGATCCAAAAATATTTAAATAATTGCTATTCTATTATTCTTTAACAGCGCGATTAATCGCGATTAATTTTTTTAATCCCTTGACAGCCCTAATTTTAAGACATAATAAATCAGGGGTCGGCAACCTTTGGCACGCAGCTCGACAGGGTAAGCACCCTGGCGGGCCAGGACAGTTTTTTTACCTACTGACGCGGCAGGTTCGGCCGATCGCGGCCCCCACTGGCCGCAGTTTGCCATCCCGGGCCAATGGGGGCGGTGGGAAGCAGCACGGGCGAGGGATGTGCTGGCCGCGGCTTCCCGCCACCCCCATTGGCCCGGGACGGCGAACCGCGGCCCCTCGGCCGAACTTGCTGCGTCAGCAGGTAAATAAACTGGCCCGGCCCACCAGGGTGCTTACCCTGGCGAGCCGCGTGCCAAACATTGCCGACCCCTGTAATAAATGTTGGGTTCTTTATTCGCCTTCTGGTTTTTGAGCCTTTACGATTCACTTTTTCAAGCTTTTTTCTGCCACTACAAGGGCTACAAACTTACTTTTCAAAAACAGAAGCAGAGAGTGGCACATACTCACATGACCCTGGGAGCTGGAGCTTTCAGACAAACACCAGATAGTGCAAGAGCTGTGATGAAATCTTGGGAGCTGGCAACACGTCCTTTTTCTACATTTTGCTGGCTAAGGTAGAAAACTTTTTCAGCGCTCAGGCCTCCCTAGCCCAACCCCAGTGGCCCAGGACTTGGGAGCAGAGAATAAACCAAAATAGCTGAGTAGTGTCACTGAGTGGAATTTGGTACCTAGAGCAATCACCCTTTTCTCCAGCCATTAGAACCAGCCCTGCTCAAGTCCATTGCCCTTGAGCATTTTTGGGGTAGCTATCCCCCTTGTCTCCCACCAATCAGACCTTCCAGGGACTATGAGAACTGAGACTTTGAGGGCATGACTCTCCGTCACGTACACTGGTTTTATACCGCAGTAGCTCCATTGAATGGAGTTACTCCTGATTTACACCAGTGAGTTGAGACTCAGTCCCTGAAACTCAGTTTCTACTGTTCTGGGGGATGATCTGGGCCGCAGTTGACATAATAAAAACGAAGTTCGGGGCAAGGACAACTTCTTCTTCTCTCTGTCAAGTGCCATGCACAGTTATGGGGCTATCTAAATATCAGCATCTCCTGAGCAGTTAGGTATAGACACGTACATTGTTTTTGCACCAGCCATTTTATGATCGTGGTGCCATATTCTGCATTCATTAAGA